AAATAAGAAAAGGTTAAAAGTATAAGGTTGTCACCTAAACCTATCGCAATATCTAAAGTCAAATTACAATATAAGATGAGTATATGAGTAGTTTGCGCTATGTCTTCCGTTAATTCATTTGACCATTTTTTGATCACGAACATCTCTAGTGATGGCTGGAATGCAACTGGAGGTTCGTCCAATCCTACTGTTTCGGTGCCCAACGATGCTCTCTCGAGGTCGGCTCGAGCTTTTCTTCAAAATCTCTTTAATACCCTCTGCCTGATACAAAATTGGATACGCCCTCCCAATCCGATTGAACCGTGCACACGCATTCATGTGATTTTTTAAAGCCTCCTCTCCCTTCAACCCCTTCTATTAAGATTTTAAAATAAATAGCTGTAACGTAGAAGATTAAGTTTTTAGACTTGCTAAAAAGAAGTTTAAATTTTTATATCTAGTAGTGATTTAAGAAAAATAAATTAAAAATTCTTCTATTCAAACTCATGTTATGTCATAGGTTGATGAAAGTTAAGAATATAAATTAAAATTTTCACATTTAACTTCAAAAGTGTCGTCTTAATTTTTTTTTTTTTGGTAATATACAGTAACCAATGGTCTTGTATTATCCAATTCATATAATATCATTTACTTTCTATTTTATAAAATATTAAATTTACCTTTTAAGTTTTTGAATCAGCAATGATTTGAACTATTAAACTATTTTTATTGGTAAATATTAAAATCGGTTCATTGCGAAAGAATTCATAAAAAAAACCGAGATTAAATTGAAAAAAAAAAACAAGAAAAGGAGGAAATTAACCTTTTCCATTTCCTCGTTGACCGCGGCGGCGCAGAGTCCGCATATGAGGTTTCCCATGAACTTGTGTCGGAGCCGGGCGATGTACTCCGGCGTGCACTCCTCCGACAGGCCACAGCAGTCGCAGGCAGCGGCCTCCACCTCCGAGATCGTCGGAAGCTTCCCTCCGACGCCCTCTTTGGTTAACTCCGACGAGATGTCCGATATGGTTCGTTGGAGTTGGAGTCCGGCCTCCATTGATAGCATCGGTGAAGAAGTATGATCGAAGGAAGACTCAATTTATAGCACCCTCACACCTTACTCAATTTAGGATGCCTTTTCTGTTGATAATTTGAAAATAAAAACTAAAAAATAATGAAAAATAAAGTCGTAATATATCTGAGGACAGATATGAAAATTGAATTTCTTTTTCGTCAACCTCAATGCAATTCAAGTGTTTCGTAGGAAGGTTAAAAAAAAATGTCAATTACCGTTGAATTATGCTCACTTTAACCGTACCTATATATTGTTGTTGTACTAAAAAAACTAAATGTTTAATTCAATCTATAATGTTATTAATTAAGTTACTAATGTTATAAATTTTGCATAATTATTATTTTAAAATACTACATAATTTATAACATACTATGTTTTACCTAATTTAATTTTAATAAAAATTACAACATGAAAACGTATAATTATCGAAGTCTTAATTTTTTTTTGTGAACTTATGGAAAAGAAAAGTGTATTTTTTAAAATATAATTTTGTTTTTTTAAGTTTTAAATTAAAATATTAAGACAGTACCGAAAATATAACAATATTACTAGATCACATACACAAAAAAATAGTTTTAAAAAATACAAATAGATATTCACTAAATTGATACTATAAAAAAATAAAATACGAATTACCTATCAAACTAAATTATTAGCCACTTAAATAGGTGAAAATTGAATTTTTATCCATTTATATAAAATGTGAAGGAGAAACTAAAAATTTTCCCCTTTTAAGGTGGTCTCATTTTCTTTTCTAAATTTTTATCAAAATCATTATGAACTTAATCAGTGACACATTTAACACCTACTAGCACTAATGAAAATGACGTCATTAAAAATATTAAAATATAAAAGAATTCAATCAGAACTTTAAAAAAGCGTCGTAAAATTAAAAACTTTAACACATATGTGAGGGTTAATTTACTAAAAAAAGAAAAAAAGTGTAACGTCACGGGAAGTATGGCGATACAAATTTCAAAAAGGGGAAAAAGAGGTTCACTTTTTTTTAGCTTTTTTATGGTTTATGGTGGAGTGGGAACCAACGTTTTTTAATCCATTAAATGCAAAGTGGCTGTGTATTTATTTCTAATGTTTAATTGTCACCGCTCCCTATTACACCGTCCAATGCTGTTGAGTCATCACTATTATTTTACGGTTAGATTATACTGAGTCAACCACTAATTTTTAATTGTTTTACAGATTTTAATTGTTTTTTCTTGTTTCCAAAATTTCTATATAACTTAAGAAACAAGAAGTATAAATAATTATCAAATAATTAAGTTTCTCGATAAAACTAGAAATAAAAAATGAAAACGTCATTAGACAGATTCTAAGATACCAATATATTTGATCATTTTAACTAACTATGCTCGTATCTGTTATTAGTTAAATTAGAATTGCTTTTAAGATAGTGTTTGATTGATGCTTTTTAATTAATTTTTTGACCAAACATAATGATGCTCAATAATTTAGTCATTGGTTGATTTGGGAATCTTTGGGGGCAAAATGTGCCAAAAATGGGAAACCCAAACCATGAGAAATGCAAGCATCAAACACAAAAAGAAAAGAAAAGGAGAACCACCGTCCCATCCTTTCCCTTTTCCATTATTGCCCACAAAAGGCTACCTGCCTATTCAACTCCAATAATGAAACCTTGTTTTAATTTCCCCCCATAATCCTTCCAAGATTCTTTTAAAGCCGTTGTCTAAATGTTATCGTCATTCTCCTACTATTAGATTAGACGCATTGTATGATAAATTAATTCTTAATATCTTTTCGTTGAACTGTGCATGCATCTGTCTTATAAAACATCTTAAGATTGAAAAACTGAAAATATTTATTATGCAATCTTTAAAAATTTTCAAGTACACCAAGGTGGTAACTCTATGTCAAATGGAGATTGTGAAGATTGGAATAATATATTATGTATATTGAAGACTATGGATCAATGATTATTTATATAGAATTTCTACCAAACTTCTAATTATAATTATATTTCGATAGGTAGGCTATTGACATTATTAGACATTAAATACCTTTTGAAATGTAGAATTTCATTGACTTTACAAGTAGACGACGACTTTCCACTTACAACCATCGAACATTCTTTATCGTGATCTGACCAACACCTAAGACCCAAGATTAATACCACAACTACTCGCAATATAGATTTGGATGAAAATATTATCATGAATGGTTATTATTTTGACTTTAATCAATTTTTGATCAGTACAAGTAATATGTTGTTCACCTAAAATGGGAAAGTATAAAATTCCAATGTTGACCATTTAAAGTAATTTTTCAAACCCTTGACCTTTTATTTGTCATCAAATTCAGGTGGAATTTATTGCCAACTTTTTCCATGAAAATTAATGTCCATGCCCTAGCAGCTGCTTGCTTGCTTCTAATCTAAGAGAGAGTTTCCTAATAATAATAATAATATGTCAAATTAATATTACAACTAAACTATTATTAAATTATTTACTCGGAAAAAATGTATTATTAAATTATAAGAATACTACCATTAGCATTGTATATACATTTAAACATATACATTGCCATGTCAAATTTATATCGATTAAAATTCAATGGATATAAACTCTTTATTCCTCGCTTATATTTATTTCCATGCTATCTTGTTTCAGTAAATGAATTTTAGCCTTTTTTTTTTTTGAGAAATTTAAGAAAATATTAATTAAAAGTTAGAATCTCCCTATTTTAATTTCCTTTGCAAACTAACCAAAAAATAAAAAATAAAATTGAGTGGGAGAAAAAAATTTAATAAATAAAAATAAAAGTAAATAGGCGGAGTCTGATTTGTCGCTGAACTGCCACCTTACATTTTTTTCAGCAGTTATTTGTTTTTTATTATTATTATTATTTATTTTTTATAAATAACCTTTTTGTTAAATAATTTAAACCAATTACTCAATATTTATTTGTCAAAATTATTTAATAATATGCTGCGTAGCTTATTTTTGACTTTATAATGTAAACAGAGTCGATGGTTACAACTATATCCCAAAATTTTAAATTGTTAAAAATAAACCTTCCAGCGGGACGCGATTGGAAAATTTGGACCATTTATTAATAGGTTATATAATTGAATAACCCATTATCTTGTATCTTATAAATAAAAATTTAAATATTATTTTGATAATATTTATTTTAGTTCTTATATTTTAAATTTTTATTTATTTTAATTTTTGTATTTTTAAAACACTAATTTTGGTTCTTGTACTTTTAAAAATTATCAATTTAATATGTATTTATAAAATTTTAACATAAATGTTAGAAATCAAAAAGAAAAATTCAAAATGGACACCTTTTAAAAAGTATATGAATTAAAAATGGACGATTCGAAAGTATATGAATTAAAGTGAACAAAAATTTAAAATATAGAAGTTAAAATAGATGTTTTAAAAATACAAAGATCAAAATATACTAGATTTAAAAATACAACTACCAAAATAATATATAAACCTAAAATAAATCTGATTTACTTTAATATATGTCACTTATCGCTGAGTTATGTTCGCTTTGGCGGCAACATTAAAAGTTTAATATTTATAATCACAAATTTATAGATGTTATTGTAATAGACATTACAATTGGCCAAGAATAAGTAATAGAGTAAGCACAGCGGATAAATTGATTGGGCAAACAAAATTTTGAATTCTTAATTTTCTATAATAATAATTTAAATGAAAAAAGAAAAAACATGGACAACACCGCCACAGTTCTGGACGGTCGATCTATGCCCAGGCCCCAGGTCCGTCGATTCAAATAATTCTCTGCACTCCGGTACAGATGAGGAGTCAATCCAGACCACTGAAATATGTGCCAAAGTAACCAACGGTCGGTATTAAACGTGAAGAATCAGTCTTCGTCACGGCGATGATTCTCTGGAAATAGATTTATATATACCCATGGGTATGCGTGGAACGTTTTGTTTTCTTTGTGTTTCCGAAAATTTGATTTCGTCGCTGGGCCGGAAGAATTTGTTCCTTCGTCTCCGTTTTCCGATTCTCTGTGTAAATTTCTTTCCATCTCCGCCATGTCCAGGGCAGAGATGGACCAGCTCACCTCCGGGGCGAGCAATCGGATAATCCCGATTCTCAAAACCCTCAGGAACTCTCTCATTTTCATCCATACCTTATTCCTCTCTCTGCTTCTCCTCCTTTGGCCTCGTCGCCGCCGATCGCCGGCGCAATCAACCGCCTCGGCGTCTACCGCTCAGTCCTCCGTTNAAGAAGAGGCGGTTGGTGTGGAGGAGAGAGGAGGAAGATACCCAGAGGCGGAGGGCGTTGGCCGAGGGCATCCAAATGGGCGTGGACATCGGCGATGGAGAGTCTCGCTGCCGTTGGAGTACGTCGTTGTTCTACGGGGTTAAGAGAAACGCTCTGTTTTGCCGCTCCTGGTTGCCGGAATCCGGTGAATTGAAGTAAGGCGGCTTTTAGTTTGATTTCCAACTTGGTTGAAAATTGTTATTGGAGCTTTTTGAAACTAGGAAGAACTTGTTTATTTAGCGGAAATTTTTGTGAAGTTCGACGAATCTTACCTAGATGACATCTCATAAAGATACAGAAGAAATAAACTCGACTGGATTTCAGGATAACAGAGGATTGTGATTAGGTTTCTTGAGTTCTGATAATTTTATTTTTCGATTGTAAGGTTCCATGTTTTCTCACCGCAAGTTATGTTGATGTTTTTTTAGGGGTATTTTGATCATCATTCATGGGCTTAACGAACACAGGTGATCTTAACATTATTTTATTTGAATATGCAGAATCCTTTTTTTCTTTGTTTTATTGTAGATGGATTTTTTCTGTCAGCCTTTTTGTTTTTAATTCCCAAAAGTTTTGTTTGGTGTTTGTTTGCAGTGGAAGATATGCTCATTTTGCCACCCAGCTAACTTCTTGCAACTTTGGCGTTTATGCAATAGATTGGATAGGTAGCTACCCATATCATCTCCCTTTGTATTTCTGTGGGTGCTGTTTTTTCTCTCTCTCTCTAAATTAGCTACTCATATCAAATGTTGGATTTAAAAAAAGTAAGAAATGTTTTATCTACTAAGTTGTGCTCAGCATAACCTTGTGGGTGCKGGTTTTGGTCAAAAGTATGTTGTGTTTTTTGTACCGTCACAGTTTCTATTTTGGTTTTCTCATTATATTTTTCTCCACATCATGTTTGTTGTGTGCATGTCCTGCTGACCATATTGACAAATAATTCATACATTCTCATTATTACAAGGTTTCTTCTTTCGCATTTCTCTGATATTATAGGGAAATTTTTGAATACTTTGGATTGGTGGTGGCTCTTATTTTACTTTCTAGAATGATGTTACAAAGTACGATTTTGTTGAAATTTGAATGATGCTAATTCCATTATGGCCATTTATTGTTCTTATTGTAGGCCATGGTGGAAGTGATGGATTACATGGATTTGTTCCCTCTCTTGACCATGTCGTTGCTGATACTGTAAGTTTGACTACATCTATTCGCATTGGTTTTCGATGATTGTTTTCCCCCTTTGGACCATGATTTTTATTGATCTGCACTATAACTTAATCCTTGTGAAGACTGAAGATGTGTTTAATCGTCGTTTTTAGAAGCTCTCAATACATTCCATTGGTTCCTTTTGTAATTTGTCTTTCTGTCATGGTGCACCACCTCTGTCTCAGACTGAATTTTTTCATGCAGTAGTAACGAACACTTTCAAACATGTAATGATACTTTTATTATAGCATTGAATTATTTGTTCAAGGAAGTAATTTAGAATTTGTGTCATTCTGTTTCAAGTTTCGATGTCATTTTAATATGTGTAAAGATTTGGAAAGGGGATGTTTATTATTTTTTCTGCTCTGCAGGGGGCTTTCTTAGAAAAGATTAAATCTGAGAACCCTGAAATTCCATGCTTCCTTTTTGGCCACTCGACTGGAGGGGCCGTTGTTTTAAAGGTCAATTAATTCAAAAGACTTGCAGCTGCCTAACCATCATACAAATATGATATCAGTTTTCGGTTTTTGGTTTCCTTAACTACTATTTTGTACAGGCTGCATCAAAACCTCACATAGAAGAAATGGTGGAGGGAATTATTCTGACTTCACCGGCTCTGCGTGTTAAGCCTGCACATCCTCTCGTCAGGGTAAGTAATCCCTTTCTCTTCGCTCTAGTTAATCTCCATTGATCGGCGGTGAAGAAATACGGCGTGATCTCATATAAACACGCTCATGTTCAACCTCTTGCATAATATAGGCTCTAGCTCCAATCTTTTCCATTGTGGTTCCAACCCTCCAGTTCAAAGGTGCAAACAAGGGAGGCATCCCAGTTTCAAGGGACCCTGCAGCACTCTTGGCAAAATACTCTGATCCATTAGTCTACACCGGACCGATCAGAGTCCGAACAGGCCACGAGATCTTGCGGATTTCGTCATACTTGATGCGAAACTTCAAGTCGATCAACGTCCCGTTCTTCGTCCTCCACGGGACAGCAGACAAGGTGACCGATCCCCTGGCATCCCAGGATCTGTACAACGAGGCAGCTTCGGAGTTCAAAGATATAAAGCTGTATGAAGGGTTCTTGCACGACTTGCTGTTCGAGCCTGAGAGGGAGGAGATTGCTCAGGATATAATCAATTGGTTGGAGAAAAGGTTGAGTTATGGGCTTGAAAATGGCAGTAGCCTCTTGTAAAATGGAGGAGCATTATTTTCAATTGCTTGGAGAAAAAATAGTTTATTGTGCTTGTTTTAGTGGTTAATTCTAATGGAAATGTACGAAATTTGTATATCCATAGATGAACTTTACTTTTGATGGTAATTAGTTCCTTTTTATATTTAAAAAAAAAAAAGAAAAAAGAAAATTTAAGATCTTTTAGGAGCTATTTGGATGTATTATTTTAAAGTTATTTGAAAGCTGTCTGTAAATATATTAATTATTTTGTTTTATTTTATTTATATGTTCTAATATATTAATTTGAATATGTAATTTATAACATTGATTTTAACCCTAAATTTTCAATTACATCAAAGTTTACCTTAAATTTTGATAAGGATGGTAATTTTCCTCTTAAACTTTGAAATTTCAATCTGAGAAACAAAAAAGTGGTGGAAAATGAAAAGATAATTTAATATTTAGCTAAGTTGGACTAATGGACTCACCAGACAAATGAAGTTGGTTCATTCGATTAATTTTATTTTGCTTATCATCTTTTGTTAGCTAAGGTTGACTTGAAAGGGACAATCAAATATGTTATAATAAGTTGGAAAAATTATAAATTTATTCTCAATCTCTTAAGTGGAATTTAATTTGTTTTAAAATTTAAAAAATGCGTCCAATAAGCTTTCAAAGCGGGATAGTTTTTGGCTGACCCAGATGCCGACAAAAAGACATCGACCGACCAACTAGTCGGTTCTGATCGGTTGGTTTCCTTGATTTTTATAATAGTATTTTTTTTCTTTTGTGGAGGGTACAGCATTAAGAATAGAGTAGCTAGGGAGGAGGGAGAGAGGTAGTGTCGGAGCCGAATGGGCTGTAAGTGACTAATGAGCATGGGGTTGTGGGCGAGCTTAAAACGAAGAATGAAGAATTGAAGATTCAAAAGATAGGAAGATGAAGAATGAAGAATGAAGAATGAAGAAGAAGGTGGTGTGTTGTGGCGAGTGGAGAAATGAGAGAATGGAAAAGGAAAAGAAATGGGAGGAGAAGAAACGAGAAATTTTAATGCTTTAAAACCAACCGCCATTAAATTTAAATGGTCGTTGGTTTTTAATGGCCAGCACCATGCTTTGGCAGACTGCATGTCCCTTCTTTATTTATTTCTTTTAAATAAAAATAAATAGTCACGACTTCGATTGAATCTTTCACTAAACCGATCGATTTCGATTGGTTTGGTTTTGGTCGATACGATTTTTTGGTATTCTTTGTCCACCCCTAGTTAAGATACCTATTTCTGATCAAAAGATCGTGAGTTCGAATCTAATTCCCACACATTGTTGTATTTTTTGTTTTATTTTTAAATCTCTAAAATAATAATTCAGTATTTAATAGATTCATAAGTAAATTATTTAAAATGTTAAATATTAGACCATAAACCTAAATCACTTCATTGAAATTTTAAAAATCTATTTGTGATAATTAAAAGGTGAGAGGTTTATTGGACTCAAAATTAAAAGTTCAGGAACAATCAAATTCGAAATTGAATGTTAGATAATTTTATTGACCACAAAATTAAAGGTTCAGAATATTTATTAAATACTAAATTAAAAGTTTAAATACTTATTTGAGACATAATTAAAATTCAATGGAAAAATTCGGAAACATTGTTAAATTAACACTCATTCAAGTTTCTCTATTAAACAAAATTCATCATTTAAAAAAAAAAATATTCGTATGTGGACAAACTATTAAATCAGGGGTTGCAATCCCCCAAATCTCACAGAAATCCTGTCTGTACCTCCATGAACATATCATAAACTTTATTAGAATAATCCTTCCAAATTAACTGAATTAAAAAAAGAAAAAAGTAAAATCAGATCTTCGAGATCGATTCAATTTATTGAAAGCAGTACAGGAGATCGAGAAGAAGCAACCATCAGAAATTAAAAAGCGTAAAGATTTCTGGAAAAGAAAAAGAAAATACAAAATAAACAAAACCAATATCTTGATTTGATTATTTCAATAAAATTTTCACCCACTTTTCTGCAAAAAATCCCCCATCTTCTCCGCCATGTGCTGCACAGAAAATTGAAGATACTTCAAAAATTCATCCAACGGCCACCCCTCGATCGGATCAGCGACGAACGACCACACGATCCTGCAGCCGCCGTCGCCGGTCGGCAGCAGCTTGAAGGTTGCCACGTAGGACTTGAATCCGAAGTTGTTGTCGAGGATTTCGTAGCTTAAGACGTGTTCGGTCGGATCGATTAGAATCAGCCTCTCGTCGGCCCACTTGGTGGACGGCGCCGCCGCCTCCGACGCCGTGTGGGTGGTGGCGCAGCGGCGGGTCAGGCCCGGCTGCCCCGGCACGCCTGCCACGTGGTGGCACGTGTCGATGGGAATCCATTTGTGGAGGCTGCAGAATTCGTCGGCGATCAGCGGCCACACTTCTTGGGGTTCTGCGGCGGTTACCTCGGCGGAGACTTCTCCTTCCCACTTCGCCGGCGGCGACTGTTCTTCCATCGGAGACAAAGAAAGAGAGGGAATCTTTTGTTGTTGTGAGAATTGTCGTCTCACCCATATTTTGTTCGTCTGTCTTTATAGTCGTTAATTTAATTTTGTCTTTTTATTGGAATTTTTTGCAAAAATAAACTGTTGTTTTAATTAGATAAGAGGTTTAAATCTCAGTTTATTGTTTGACTTTTCTAATTTTTTTCTTTTGTTTGACTTAAAAATTATTATTATTTTTATGCTCGTTTTGACACTGATATATATTTGAACTATATTGATTAAGAGTAATTGTTGGATAAAAAAATTTGAATGGTAAATAATGTAATAAAATAATTGTTACTTTTTTTAAGTTTACAAATTAAAGTAGAAGTTACAAAGAACTTAAAATTAAAGTAGAAGTTACAAAGAAAAAAGATAGAAACAAAAAATTAAATAATAGACAAAAATAGAAGAACTAAAATTTAGAGACACTCACGTCAACTTTCTAATATTAAATCTAATATTAAATCATAGTTACATTTCAACGAATATATCGAATGAGTGGTGTATTAAAATTGTGGTGGAAAAAATAAAATTAATAATAAAATGAATTAATCAAAATGTTTGTTTTTAAAAAATACAAGAGATGAAAATGAATATTTTAAAAATATAAATACTAAAATAAATAAAAGTTAGAAATAGAAAGACTAAAATAAATAAAAACATTGATCGAACCAGTATTTTAACTCCTTTTTAATTAACCTCATGGAATCATTTTGGGAAATATATATATTTTCTCTTTAATGAGAAATAAGTGATTGAAACAGTCGCCTTTAATTTTAGCGTTAGTGGGAGAATCAAAAGTGTTGCATGTTCGACATCTCTCGGGCGTGTGGATTAAGCTAAGTTATTTATTTATTTATTTTTAGTAAAAAGCTTCACTATCAGTCAGAGAGAGAGAGAGAACAAATTTATTTAAAATATTAATGTTATCAATAAATGTGGCTATAATATACGGTAATGTTAGTATATCCCATGCTTGCGTGTATGTTTTATTTTTAAATTTAGGTTAATATATGTTTGAGTTTTTTCATGTTTTATTTTTTCTAATTTAATTGAAATGTTTCAATTTGGCCATTTTATATATTTTTTAATTATTCATTTTTTATTAGTGTATTAAATTTTACCGATGATAAGTTTATATAACATGATATTTAATGAGTGGCAAAATTTCAGAGAAATAGCTAGACTATTTAAGAGAAGAAAAGTCGAAATTTTTATTAATTTATAGTACGTTTAACAAAATATCATACATGAATATAATTCAATTGGTTAAGATATATATCTTCAATTAAAATGTCGTGGGTTCGAATCTTCCTCCCTACACGTCGTTGTACCAACAAAATATAAAACAAAAGCAAATTAAAAAAAAAACTCGGGATAAAATATATATTTAATTAAAAATCCTATTTTTTTAGTACTTTAAAAAATCTATATCTATACTCTATAAAAAGGCTATATAGGATTTTATTTATCCCTCACGTTTTAAGTGCATTCAATACCAATTATTGTTGATTTATGGAAGAAATTAGGTAAATTAAAAATTAAAGTAATTTGAAAAGTCGACGAAGACTTTACAAGAGAGTAAATAATATTTAATAAAAAAATTAGTTCAACCACGTGCCCAAATGAAAATTCGAACATCGAATATTTCAATCGAAAATATATATCTCAATCAGTTTTGCTAGGTTAAATCTTACTTTAAACCTATAATTAATTAGTTTAGAAAAATATGAAATAGAATAATAGTTATTATACAATGTTTTCGATATAAATATAAATATAGCTCTAACGAATAAGAAATTTGTTACCATTTTTATAAAATTTTGTATATTATTAATTTATGTAAAATAACTTTCTATTTTACTATTCTGAGCAAAATCTTGAAGATTACCACTTCTGAAATAAAAAATGTGCTGCCTTCTCTAACAAATTTTAACTACAACAAATTTTTGATGGATTAAATTTTTTATCGTTAGAGTAAACAAAGCAATATGTAATTTAACCTTATAAAATTTTAAATAATGATCTTATAATAAATTTATATATTAAGTATCAATATAAAAATAACTAAAGTAACATATCTATTTTAGTAACTATAGTTAAATCACAATAATTTAATAATTAATTAACCTAATTTTTTCATGATTAAAATTAAAACTTACTAAACAATACACCAATATACTTCATATTATAGTTAAATTTTATAAAAGGCATAATTGTAGTAACCTCAGACTAAGTCTAAAATAGCTAACAACCCTATTTTAATAATTGTAAGTAGAAGTATCACATCAATCCTCCAATGTTTAAAAAATAATATTATAAAAAACATTAAAATTGAATTTTTGAGGGCGAAAGGAAAAAAAAAGGAAATTACATCTATCGACACAAATATTGTATGTATAATTAAAAATATATATATTTATGTCTTAAGGGTCGATTTCTTCATCATTATTAAAGTGAGATTCTAACCTTTTTTTCTAAAAAAAAATTAAAAATTTATTTTTAATTAGAATAGGTAGAAATAGAGATTTTATGTACTTAGTAAGTTGGTATGAAAAATTAGAAACTTGTTACACTATATTTAAAAATATATATATTTATTTGGCTAATTCCATCCAGAAAATTTAAAACCGATTAAAGTTGTGATGATGACAGCAATTTATATAGGGTTACGAAATTACCAGTTAGGACAAACCCCAACGTGGACTATTACAATTTTGCCCTAATTCCTTATTCTTCTAGTTCTAGGGCAGCCTCCATTCGCTTAACCATGGACCGCAATCCCTCTTGGTACTTCTTCACCAGATCCTCCAGCTTCAAACCTTCCACCGGCTCCACCGCGAACCTCCATTCGATCACGCCGTCGCCTCCTCCCGGCGCGATCTCGATCGTGGCCACGTACGACTTGAATCCGATGTTGCTATCCACGATCTCGTAGCGTATACGGCGGCTGTCGTCATCGACGGCTAGCAGCCGTTCCTTGGACCAGCTAACGACGCGATCGGCGCCGTCGAGTGACGGAATTGAGAAGCCGGAGCAGAATCGGACGCAGCCGACCTCGCCATTGGTGCCGGCGATTCCGTAGCAGGTGGCTAGGGTTGGAAACCATTTGTGGAAATTGAAGAAATCCTTGAGCATCGGCCATATCTGGTCGGCGCTGGCCACTGTTAGCGCCTCGGAAACTCGGCCTTCCCACTTCGCCGGAGAGGTTTCCGCCATTGGAGAGGGGATCTGTCGTCGGCCGTGAGATCTCCCCCATCACCAACTTCCTTCTTTTATTCCTTTTCTTTTTTGGATTTTTTTAATTGCCGTCGTCAGCATTATCATCATAAACTAAAATTAATATTTGAACCATCCAATTGTCATGTACCAACCATTTTTTTTTTCTCCCTCTTTTTTACGAGTGACTCAAGTTTATTTTAGCCTCTATGATTTTATTTTTAATTTAATTTTGGTCCACGTATTTGAACCAACCAATTATTATGTACCACCCACCTTTTATTTTTATTATAAATATCAAATTAGTTTTAAATACTTGTGTACTTTCAACGTAAGGATAATTATAATGTTTGACTCGCATTAAAATAAAATAAGAAATTGTCTTTTTATTTTTTTTTTTAAATAAATAATTGTCAACTTTTAGATAAGATATCTATCGACCAATTAGTTCATAAATATTATTAGATTTGAACCTTATCTTTTAGTACAATATTAGAGACATATACTAATTGTAGTCCAACATTATATTTCAACCTCTAATTACTAAGATAAATAGTATCTTTCATATTGCATATTTTAGTCTAAGAATTTTGGTTAGTTTTTTTTAATACAATTTATATACTTTAAAATCTTGTTTTAATCATTTTTCCTTGAGGTATATTTATTTATTTATTTATGTTAGTTAATGTGTCATTTCTAGTTTTAGTTTTTAGTTTTTCTTTTCCTTATATATATAGTCATTTCATTTTTAGTTTTTCTTTTTTTCTTTCTTATTAATTCTCTTTTTTCTTCTTTTTTTTTTCCTTTTATGTGTGTGTTTGGTGTGTTTTTCATATTTCTCAAAAATAGATTTGAATTTTTAGCTAAATTTCAGCTTGAGTTAGATTTCAAAAATACTTTTTAATAACAAAACAAAAAAGTATGGGAATAAAATTAATGTTTATGAGCTTAATTTTAAAAACTAAGTGAGCCTTTTTTGTTCATTTAAGAACGAATTTCATTTTTGATATTATTTTATCACTTAATGTTTATCTAATATACACGTTTTAGAACATTTCTTTAACGTCATCCTAGCCAACTTATGTGGTTCTAGTTTATGCTCACATTGCTCCGTTATAATATACATTCTTAAAGTCACTACCATAAGTATAATTCAATTGTAAAATCATATAACGTTTATTATATCTATAATATATATGATAACTGTGAATATCGGAGCCAACTTTCACCACTTCAACTAATCTCATCCTACTACCTTTGGTGACGGAGGAAACATGTAGAAAATTAATTCCTTCTAAATTCAATTTGATTTATTATTTATTATTTTTAATTTTTTGAGCAAAACTAAACATAAACGTTGATGGAGAAAGCTTTGGTTATGGCTTTGAAAATAAAATAAAAATCGTTGAGGGCTGAAGCCCGCTATGGACTGGACTTCTGCAGGCCCAGTTTCAAGTGTGGTTGAATGAAAACCTAATAAATATCCAAATTACATTAGGTCTATTTTATAAAATTTTAATTATACTTTTTAAACTTTCTATTATACTTACTCTTAGTCTAAATGTAACATTAACATGCATGCACATTAAATATATTTTATCTGAATCAACCGTTATAAATAGACAATATTTCTATTAATATATAATTTATATTAATATAAGTAAAATACCAATTCATATTTGAAATTGATAGATTTTATACCACAAATAATAACTAATCTTACCAATATGAGCATAGCTCAACTGAAATTGACATGTACTATTTTATTCGAAATTGAAGGTTCGATCTTCTATATTCTCAAATTGTTGTACTCGAAAAGAAAAATGACTCGCCTATCTTCAATACAGAGAATTGTTATATCACAAATTAAATAATAATAATTATTATGTATATGATGTGTTGTGCATGTGATAATTAATAGCATGAACAAACTATATAACAGACATCTATTATTAATATGTGCAATAGGCCTTTTCTCCCCACATGCCTAAGCCTACCAATTGAGCCTGTGGCTCATCAACATTTGATTTATCATATTCTACCTTTTTTTTTTCTCCTGCCAAAACAAACATAATTCAACTTATGTACGTTTTTTGAACTATGAAAGATGATACAATGAGTTTTAATTCGGTCTCTTCATCTTCCTAATCTATTATTGTCATTCTTGTAAAATAAAAGTTTACATGCTCTTTTGGTCGTTTTGGTATGTGTGTCTATTTACTTTATTTTAGTATATGTTAAATACGTTTGTATTTAGTAAGGAATCAAGTGTTTTTATATTATTTATTGATTTTTTTAAACAATACTACATTTGGATGGCAGACGAGCCTTGTATTTGGCAGGGATGAAACTTTTTTTTAGAAGTGAATTAACGGAAATTTAGAAGAAGAAAAACAATTTAGAATTTATCCTGTAAATTCTAAGTAACCAATAGAAATTTTAAGTTTTCAGCATTCTTTTAAATACAATTTTCTTCAATTCTAGTGTGACATATTTAATCTTCTAAATTTATATATCATCAGCCAACAATAATCAATAGAGTGATTCATCATCAATATAATATTAAATTAAAAAAATTTTAAAACACGAATGACTAAATTAAACTTTTTAAGTAACATGGCTACATTAAAAAAAACAAAAAAAAAAACTTAAGTGGCCAAAATATACTTATTATGGGAATCAAAAATTGTGTAAGAAATGGAAGTTGAAATATACAATTAGAAAGGGGTTGCCAACAAAATTTGTAGTCAATAAAATAAGGTATTTGACGACCACCGTGAACTTTTCATTCAGCCCCAAATATAAGACTCAGCCATTCAACGATTTAAAAAACAAAAATAAATAAAACAAAACATACATTACTATTAAAATGTACTAATGTTAACTGCCCATGACAATATATCAATCTTTTAATTTGATACGAATCACTATTTCAATGAACGGAGCAATGATTTTGTTTTTTGTCATTTATTTTATTTTATTTATATTTATTAAATCGAAACAAAGAAACCATAGTTAAGTAAATGAATCACTATAATAAAATTATTAATAAATAACCATAACATTCATAAAATATTATGGATGGAATGTATTATGTTCAATACAGCAACGTGAGTAGAAGAATCATGTTAGGTTGATAGAGCTAGACCACCAAACTTGATCAAGTCTACCCAATTGAACTGGTCGAGCCTTAGAGCGTGAGCACATTTTCACAATCCTACTTTTTGGTAATATAAGTTGAATAACTTGTCTAATTTAGACATTAGAGTGTGTTTAGTTCAACGTCCTATCAATGTGTATATTTATGTGGAGGTGTTCATCGGAGCATGCAACATTAGAACTCGGATCCAAATCTTGGATCAACATAAATAACAAAAATAAGTACAAAATAATTTAAATAGTAATACTGATTTTTTGGTACATTAATAAATTTAAAGGCCAAACAATATATTTATATAACTTTTAGGTATAATATGTCGAGGCAGCGATTCAAACTCACAACTTATTGGTTGAAAATAAGTGCGTTAATCTGTTGAACTATGTTAACGTATATGAACATGTTTTGATAATGTTAATCTCGTGAAAGTTGGACAAATAGATTTGAGAAAATTAAACATGTGAAATAGCTACGAGTATTTAATATTTGTCACAAAATACATAGACAAACCTTTGAAATAAATTGGCTGTCATGGATGATTGATTCTAAATATCCCAATGCAACGTTGAATGTTCTTACAATAATATATATATAGTGGAAAATTAAAGGAAAAAATATAAAAGAATAAAAAAAGAAAAAAAGAAGAAAAATCAAGAGAGGAAACTGAAGTACATAGACAAAGGCTAAGCTCTGTTTCTCTCTTCTTCTTCTTCTGCTGCATCCTCTGCTCTTCTTCTGGCTGCTCCCCTGTACTTGAAATCGAGTGACCATTTCATTTTCCCTTTTGTTTCGCTCCATAGATCTCCGGTTTCCCAATCGGCGTACCCTAGACTCCGATTCTCCCACATTTTGTTTTCCCAATTTGTTTTTTGGGGTTCCGATGACCCTAGATGCTTCCTGACCCTTCTTCTCCGGCGACCTCTCTCGCCCTTCATGGACCTCCACATGTACGATGCCTGAGCTCCGTGGCAAGCCTCGCAGGAGCCGGGTATCCGACCACCCAGTCCCGATTGCCCACCAAACTCCCGTTAAGCTAACTGTCAGAACACGCCACCCAGCGCCGCCCGCCAAACGCAGCGGAGGGAAGAGTATCAGGAAGGGCAAAGACGCGATCGATGCCGACGGTCACAGGGATGTTCTAAAACCTGGAATCGCTCTTGAAACGAGGCTGCGTAGGAGTAAGGAAGAAGTAGGGAAGGACAAGGGCCAACAGGTTGGTGCTACAGCCATGGATGAGTACGATAGCGGCGGACGGAACGGCGATAAGGCTCCTGTGGCCGAGGATGAAGCCACAACCACTCCTCTTCCGGAGAAGGTGAGGCTCTTTATTCATGGATACGGGGTTGTTTTTGATGTTTCTCTAATCGATGGCTTGGCGTTGATCGTTGAGAAAGTCAGGGAAAGTTGGGATTTTTTATTATCTCTCCCTGTTACTACACGTTGATATCTTGGCTTTCTTGTATTTCTGTCAACTTGGAAAACGGATGAATTATTCATGGCAATCCCAAAATTTTTTGGCTAGTCTTGTTACGTATGAGTTGATGCAGCTTTTAGGCATGGCTTCGTTTGAGATTGGAGCATAGTTTTGCTTTGGGAGGGCTTCAAATATATGCAGTCAAACAATCGTCGGTACTAAAAAGAAACGGGAATTTGTTATTCTGCTTGATTTCGGTAGTTTCTCTATATTTGGAATTATTTTCTGCCAGTTTCCTGGGTTCCACTTCAAATTCGTGGAACTGCAAGGATCAGATTGTGAAAGAAAATACTTTGCATGGATATCATTATTGCTCTACCTTTATCTTTCCGTTCGTGATTTTATCAGTCCACTTTTCTGTCTTTCTTTCTTTGTTCTTATTGAGAGAATTATTACTAGTTTATTTATTTACTTTATAAGCTTTTATATTTTTTCATCTTGTTGATGTATCCTTTTATGCTGTATTTATTTTTATTTAGATTTGTTTTTCTGTTATGTTATGAAAATAATGTGGTGCCTGTTGAAATACTGTACACTATCTTAACAGTAATAGAGAAATGTTATATCGTGGAGTATCATTTCGTGAGTTTTTTACTAAAAAAAAAGTTATATCCTCTTAATACAACAGGTTCAGGTTGGTGGTTCTCCATTATATAAAGTTGAAAGAAAACTGGGAAAAGGAGGTTTTGGACAGGTGTATGTAGGCCGACGCATGGGTCCCATGAGTTTAAATGAAAGATCTGGCCCTGGAGCCGTGGAGGTATGGTATCCCTATCTGTAATGTTTATAGAATTATTTGTTTCACGTTACCAACATTTCATATGATTTGTCCAAATTTCAGGTAGCCTTAAAATTTGAGCATAGAAGTAGTAAAGGGTGCAACTACGGGCCTCCTTACGAGTGGCAGGTTTACAAGTAATGCTCTTCTCAGTTCTTGTTTATTATGGTTTAATGTTGAAAGATTTGTTACATATATTTTTATGTGTTCTAATCACTCATCTCTTGGTTGTTCAGCGCATTAGGTGGTAGCCATGGTGTGCCACGAGTTCATTACAAGGGTCGGCAAGGTGACTACTATGTCATGGTATGTTTAGTTTCCTTCAGGTTATTTACTTTTTTAGACTGTTAAAGCCTAGAAGTGCACTAGAGACTTGCATTATTATTTGTTGTGTTGTGAATAACTATGCTTCGGATATAGGTTATGGACATGCTTGGACCTAGTCTCTGGGATGTCTGGAATAACAATTCTCACACGTAAGTTTATATTATATTTTGATAATTTTATTTTAATTAGTTTGTAGGTTTTGCAACTAGTTGAGAAGTATACTTGCTGATTTATTGCATGTTAATGTGTACTTTTTGTTTTTATTCTCAGGATGTCCATTGAAATGGTAGCATGTATCGCAATTGAGGCAATCTCCATATTGGAGAAGATGCATTCTAGAGGGTGAGGCCTTTATTCTCCTTATAATGATGATAGAAAAAATAATGTTCTGGTTAGACATGATCTGATTAGATTTCCATGGGAATCAAATTAGAAGAAACTCAATGTGATTACTTTTAGATTGACAGTTTAGGCCCTACCTTTTTTGGTTCATTTCACATCCATAGCAACTTCTGATACTTTACTGCTAGGGCTCCCTCGTTTAATATGGAGGTATAGTGAAGTTACATGGAGTCCTAGGTTGCTGTAGCTGCGAAGGAACATGTAAAATCTATTGCAGATCTAGGCAGCTTTGTACAAAACATCGTGCAAAGAAGATGAATGATTTTTGCATCTACTACTGCTAAGCTGGACCATTTTTACATAGCTGGCTCACTCACTAGCTCATGAATGATTTAGTTGTATTCTTGTAATAATTATTCTGCTCTTCAATACCTCTGTCAATGTCTCTAACAGGTATGTGCATGGCGACGTGAAGCCTGAAAACTTTTTACTTGGTCCTCCTGGGACCCCGGAAGAGAAGAAGTTGTTTCTTGTAGATCTTGGTCTAGGTATCTCATGTTTTGTCTACTGTTTCCATCTCATGTAATGTTATTTTTAATGCATACGAAGTATACCTTACCATTTTATTGGTTCACCTTATAGCAACCAAGTGGCGAGATAGTGCTGGTCTGCATGTTGAGTATGATCAACGACCAGATGTTTTTCGGTACAAAAGCTGTACATATTATATGAAATATTATATATATATATATATATATATTTAACATTTAGGCTCTTAAACAACTCTATCTCACATCTTCATTTAGGGGGACGGTCCGGTATGCTAGTGTGCATGCACATCTTGGCAGAACTGCTAGTCGAAGAGATGACTTAGAATCGCTTGCTTACACTCTTGTTTTTCTCCTTCGTGGTCGGCTGCCTTGGCAAGGATATCAGGTTTATAAGTTTTCAGGGCTGATGGAGGTTATTTTTTGTGTAAGCATATTATACATTTGTTCTGAGTATGTTTTCTCTTACTTTTCAGGGAGAAAATAAAGGATTTCTTGTGTCAAAGAAGAAGATGGCTACTTCCTCTGAAACATTGTGCTGTTTTTGCCCTCAGCCTTTTAGACAGTTTGTCGAGTATGTTGTGAATTTGAAATTTGACGAAGAGCCCAACTATGCAAGATATATCTCTCTCTTTGATGGGATTGTGGGTCCCAATCCAGATATACGTCCAATAAACACAGATGGTGCACAGAAAGTACTCACTGCTTCCTTCATTGCATTTATCTGTTGATTACCAATTGTACTTCTTCGTTGGAAACTTTGAACTTGAATATTATCTGACACATCATTTGTTATGCGAAGCTTATATTTCAGGTTGGGCATAAGAGAGGAAGGCTATCCATGGAGGATGAAGATGATGAACAACCAAAGAAGAAGGTTCGAATGGGGATGCCTGCAACTCAATGGATTAGTGTTTATAATGCCCGTAGACCAATGAAACAAAGGTTTGCACTTAAATCTAAAGATGAAGCTCATTTGCAACAAAGGGTTATTGATTAACATTTCCTGATGTAGATACCACTATAACGTTGCTGATATGAGGCTCTCTCAGCACATTGAGAAAGGAAATGAAGATGGTTTATTTATTAGTTGTGTTGCTTCATGTTCGAACCTTTGGGCCCTTATTATGGATGCTGGAACTGGGTTTACTGCTCAAGTTTATGAACTCTCACCATGCTTTCTTCACAAGGTTTGTTTATTTTCCATGAAGAAGATAAAAAATCATCTTGGATACTTTACACGCGAGATTCATCTTCATGTTTGTTTTTCATTTTGGTCAATGGATTGTGAGGACTAATTTATTGCGTATCTACAGAATATGTGCTCTTGTTTGTTAAACGGCCAATAATGCTCTTTGTTTTGTTTTTAGGAGTGGATCATGGAACAGTGGGAGAAAAACTATTACATCAGTGCAATAGCAGGAGCTAATAATGGGAGCTCATTGGTAGTAATGTCCAAAGGTTAGTCTTAATACAATCTATTTCTAATGGCTAGAAGAAAACAAGGTCGTATTCCCTGCGTTATATATATATTTTTTTGTTTCTTAAAATTTAAATATAAATTTAATGCAGGGACCCAGTACCTCCAGCAATCTTATAAAGTCAGTGATTCATTTCCCTTCAAGTGGATAAATAAGAAATGGAGGGAGGGATTTTATGTTACTGCCATGGCCACTGCCGGCAGTAGATGGGCAATTGTTATGTCTCGCGGTGCTGGATTTTCTGACCAGGTACTAGCCAATAGGTTTTACTAAACTTGTTATATTTAAGCTATTGCAGGACAATGAAAGGGATTTGACATTCATTTTGATCACATCACAGGTTGTGGAGCTAGATTTCCTGTATCCTAGTGAAGGTATTCATCGCAGGTGGGATGGTGGTTACCGCATCACATCAACTGCTGCAACTTTGGACCAGGCTGCTTTCGTTCTAAGTGTGCCAAGAAGAAAGCCAGCTGATGAAACTCAAGAAACACTTCGGACATCTGCCTTTCCTAGTACACATGTCAAGGTTAGTCATAGGGACATGCCTTTTGCTTTATATATTCTCTTAATATTTGCTATATTTCTAAAAATCTTGGTTTCTGGTGTTTATGCAGGATAAATGGGCAAAGAACCTTTATATTGCATCTATTTGCTACGGCCGAACTGTTTCATGAACTACTCCCTAAATTGATGCCTCTTAGAGCCTGCAATTTTTAACAGATGATGCTTCTTTGGGCGGAATTTTTAAGACCAACGATTGACTGGCTAATGGAGTTGATGTAGCTAAACTGTTCATTAACGTCGGCACCGTGTAGCATCAGATACAGACACCTATGCTCTGGCTTTCATTCATGTTATTCAAGTATGAGCTAAATTTAGATCTTTCGTGTCCCTGGGGTTTGGGTAATATTTACCAAATTGTTAAAGGTTTTGTATAGTCTTGAGCACTAGTTCTTGGTTGAAGGCATGTGCATAGGTGATCTTTTCTGGGTGCTGAGGGAATGTGAAAGTTATGATTATCAAGCATCAGTGGGCTCTGGATATTCATATCCCTTTTTGATTGTACTTAGATCCTTATCTCTCACCTTTTTGGAACTGAGGATACTCTAAATGTCTGAACCTGGAAGATATCAATTTTACACCTGGAAGCGACACTTTTTAGTGGATCTTCTATCTATAATCATTAGTTAACTGATGACTTTATGACTTGTGCCTACCCCATTATTTTTGTGGATATGTACTAGGGTGATAACAATTGTTGATGGTCAAACACTGGAATTGCTGTCAATTAGTTCCTACTTTTAAGGTTTATATAACTTTGTATATTTATTTTTATTTTCACTGTTTAATTCTCAACTCCATTTTGGACCCAGATGATTCCTGTAATTTTTTTCCCTGGCATCTGCCACTATGTAAGATTATAAAGTTTCCTTCCCTCTGCAGTAGATTACAAGATTTCTCATGAAACCAGAGATTCTGTAGCTGAGTATACTGGCACAAAATGCATCTACATTTCGCTGTACCAGAGGCTGAATGTGACATTTTTCTAATGGACTCGTTGATTGCAGGAAATTATGTTAGATTCAGCAAGCACCTTTTAGCAGCTAGTTGGTCACTTAGATCTTTCCAATTTGGTAATGTCAGTGCACTGTTACCAGTATTTTCTTGTCCATGGCCTAGATTTTGGAATCTGAAAACTGTGGGACTTTATCATACATCAAGAAGGAAGAATGGGTGCCATCTGTTCTCTGAATGCCACCAGTAGCTTCATGCAGTTCTTTGAGGAATTCTACTTTGCTGTTGCATTTTTATTCGAGCAAAGTACCTTAGCTTGGTGTGGTAAGGAAAAACTATCCACTTCAGATTTTTGTTCATATGGACTTTGTTCAATATTTTGGAGGTATAAAAGTTAGCAGTGAAATGGAATGCATTTTTAATGTAATTAAAGTAACAGTTCAATCATAGGAAAAGGTAGGGTACTCCTCGTTGAGCCTGATTAGTATCTATAGTTCTCTCTCTCTCTCTCTCTCTCTCTCTCTCTCTCTCTCTCAATATGCATGGTTCTCATGTTGCTTTGAATAAACTTGATCAACACCATGTAAGAGTGATTCCATTTTTTCTTTGCATTGGCCATGGCCTGGTTACTTCTGCCAATATTGCATTGCATCGACTTCTATATATGAGTTCAAGTGATTGGATGATGTGCTGTATGAGATTTGATGTTATTAGATAATGGTTTCTTGAACTGGACATTTATGTGTAGACTAGTACCATTATAGAGAGAGACTCGTCATCCAGACTGAAAGAATTGAATAATCTTTGTTACTCATTCTGTTTCCATTATCAACTGCAGGTATCTGAATTACAAATTAGCCTCTTCGGCAATTGAAATCCATTTGCACAATCCCTGAAGCCTGTTGCCTCGACACTGAGTTTCAAGAAAACCTGAATCGTTGATTGGTCACTTACACCGCGTCGGGTTTTAAGCGTCAAGGTACATTAACGTTTTACTGGGATTTGAGCTTGATTTTCATGCTTAGCTTGTCATCTAGAGGTAGTAATGGCTTCTTTTAACATTTGGATAATTGGGTTCTTCGACCATTGGCAATAATGTTATTAACATCTTATAACTCAACGTAGGACTCATATCATTTATTATCATGGGGTTTGTTTCTGATTGATGAGAAGTTTAGACAGGTGAAAAGTGATGGTTTCTGCTTACTCACTTGATTACTGCGGTCTGTAGTATAGAGTTGGTTGTTGGTTGTTGGAGTGAGCTGTTTATATATTAAACAAGTATGAAAGTTTACATTGAACATTTAATAATACCCATGTGTGCTTTTTCATTTTACTTGAAAATAAGCTCTGGCAAGGCTTTTGATGCTTGATAATGAATATGAAAGATTCATTTGCCTCGAACCGTAAGAGATTTAGATTCCCACCCCCGAAGTTTCCAGTTTTAATCTTTACGTTGATCATACTATAAACTGTTGATTTCAGATCTGGATAGCATGTAACAGGATCTTTGATGGGTAGAACTTGGATGGGTTTTGTTTTGTTTTGGATTTTTTGAAGCTTAGATGGTGAAATGGCCCAACTGAAGAGAAAAGGGGTGTTCTTTTGGGAAAGTGGAGAACGTATTGTGGTGGGTTTTTGCAGGCAAAGGTGAAGGTAATTTGGCCATTACGTGCCTTGTGGCCTACCACCATTACAAAACTGAGCAAGTTAAGGCTAAGAATTCTCTGCCTTACAATTTTTTACCCACCAAAACCAAAACCAAAACCAAAACCAAAACCATCTCTCTCTTTTCCCTCGAAACGACTCAAAGAATCAATGGGCACGTTCCCAAACCATCTTCCTTTCTGAAATGTGTCTATATATATACATCTGTGGATTTGTCTGTGAACTGTTTAATCCATCTTTAACTGCTTTTCCTTCCAAATTCATGGAGTCTGTTGCCTCTACTTCATCCCCACCCCGCCGTCCCCGTCTTCACCTTACTCGATTCAAGCCCTCCCAAGCCGTGGCTGACCGGATCGTTCGAGCTCTCCACCATCACCTTCGTCTTCTTCACCGCTCCGATTCTAACTTCTTTGTGTTGGGAGCCACAGGCAACGTCTACATTGTGTCTCTGTCCACCACCCCTTCCTGCAGTTGCCCCGATCGGATTACCCCGTGCAAACACATATTGTTCATCTACATTAGAGCCCTTGGTGTGTCACTCGACGACGCATGTCTTCGGCGGAGAACGCTTCGACCATGCCACCTGAATCGCTTGCTTACTGCTCCCATTATGTTGGAATCTGTTGCTGCAATTGGCGTGCGTAGAGTATTTCATCAACGATTCTTCCAGGTAAAAGGACGAGCTTCTGCATCCGTCGTAGACGTAGAAGATGGGACTACATGTCCGGTTTGTCTGGATGAAATGAAGAAGGACGATAGCGATAGGGTCGTGGCTTGTATGACATGTCGAAATGTTGTCCATGAAGATTGTTTCTTGAGGTGGAAACGAAGCAAGGGAAGGCGAAGTGTTAGTTGCGTAGTTTGTAGGGCAAGGTGGAGAGATACGAGTGGCCAAGAAAAGTATTTGAATTTGTCTGCATACATCAATGAAATTAACAATGATCTCTATAATACTTAAAACTAAGAGATCCATAATCACAATTATTAGTTTCTCAAAATAAATAATCATATGGATTCCTCATTTATTAAAATTAAAATAATTATATTTTATCAATGTTATGATCTATCGTTTTATGAATTGTAAAAAATATCCTTTTCACTTTTAAAACGTGTAAATATTATATTTATTACATTAATGTTTTGGTAAGAATTAATGAAATAGTTTAGTTCAGCAGTAAAATTTATAATTTTCTAAGGTGCAAGGGTTTATGATTTCAAAAAAGATAATTTAGGCTTTGTTAATAACCATATTTTTATCCATGTATTTATTTATTTTGTTGTCTATTAATTTTCTACAAAAATCTAAGCCAAATTTTAAAAACAAAAAAAAAAGTCTTTATTTTTAACTTTTTTCACTTTTAAAATTTCATTAAGAATTTAAATATATTTTTAAGGAAGATGAAAATATACAAAAGGAAATGTGAGCAAAAAATTAGAAGTAGAAAACTAAAATGAAATGCTTATGAAATGAAGTTTTAGGGATGCTTATATGTGAATTAAAATGTGTCGGGACTAGTTAAGTGATAGAACGTGGGATAAATTCGATGTTTTAGTCAATAAAAACTTTTATTAAAAAATATGATTTGGAATCACTTTGTCTATTTCATGTGGTAATAATCTTACTAAAAAATTTTATAGAAATAAATTCATGCAAAATAACATTCAAAAAATAAAAAATATGAAGGTGAAATTCAAATTGAGACGGGTTAAATCATAAAAATAAAAGAAAAATACACAGTAGTATGCGTTAGGTTTGTTTGTGGATAGAACCACGCCTCCTCCATGCTCCAATCAATCTGTGGAGTTCAATAATGAACTGGATCAAGATCAACGAGAGTTGCAGAAGTGAATTTAATCAACTGGACCGATTTTCGCTATTGCCCCATCCTCGACCTTATCAATCTCATACTTGAAAATTTTGATCCCTCCCGCATTCCAAAGTCTGAATTCTTGGTGTTTCTCTGCTTTCGTAACTGCTGAAACGAGTTGCAGGCTTTTTTCTGTTGTCAAGTTTCCTGGTAGGATAGGAATGGAGTCCGGAACTCGACCTTCTGCCGGTGTGTTGTCTGGTAAAGTCGTCGCTATTGCTGCCGGTGAAGCTCACACTCTCGCTCTCACAGGTAAGAGAGGAAGATGGAGATAGGGGGATTCCGCGATTTGTGCGTTTTCTGTTGTTTCTCAGTTTACATCGAAGAAGTCCGACTCTGTAATGTTTGTGGTAGAATCTGAGTTTTGTATTTACGGATGAGAGGAATTTTGTGGTGTGGATTGCAGGAGATGGGAGTCTGTACTCATGGGGAAGAGGAATGTTTGGGCGGCTTGGGACAGGGACAGAAGCGGACGAGCTTTACCCTGTACGAGTTAAACTTGGTTCGGAGGAAGAGAATCTCAAAATTGTGGGAATTGCTGCTGGTTCTTATCATAGCCTCGCTCTTGCTGGTTAGTGTTCTCGTGTATTATCAAACTTTGCATTTGATCTTCCGATTGAACTTGCTTTGAATTAACAGTTGCAATTGTGTTTGAGTAATGGTCATAAACATTTTGCTGCATCTAAACCTGACACATGAGCACGAGAAGATTCACGCTCTTGCTGCAACGAATATGATTTACTTTCATTTTAATAGCTTAGAGATCTTTCTTTCAAATGCTAGAGGAAGGAAAAGCTCTCACATATAAAGCTGCAAGAGTATGTCCGCCTAGTAATTAAGAAAATTTAGGGAGACGCTAATTCAAGATCTGAAGTCAAACTTCTATCAGTAGAGTGCTGTTTAACTCAATGTAGCAATGCCTTCGTTGACATGTCTTTTGGTCTGTCTGTATATGAACTTGATGCTGTCATATCACATGAGAACTGAAAAACCATAGGACGAATGTTATTTGCTGAATTTTTAGAAAGTTCAAAATGGTTGAAGTCTTATTTGTAACTTCAAACTTTCAAAGACCTTTTGTTTTAGTCTCTAATATTGGCATAAAAATTCATTTGAATCGTTGTTAAAATTTTTGTGCATTTAACAATACTGTCATGGCCATAATTTGGTTTTGTGTTTTGAGCGGTGTGTATCAAGTCTAGTATCAAGTTTGAAAGTGGGTAGATAAAGATTTCTGTTTACTATAATACAATAATTGAATGACATAAGCCAAAATAAGTTTTAAAGAAAGTAGAGTAACAAAAAAACAAAATTAAAGGAATTAATACCAAAGCAGAATAAGTATGACTACAATATAATTTAAACTAAAAAAAAAATATATTCGTGGTCCGAAGACACTAGGCTTAAATATTATGTTCTAGAGCTACTTAACTGATTTATAAATGGGGATCTGGTTGTCCTCACCCTCTATTTGGTTGCAGATGATGGTTCAGTTTGGTGCTGGGGTTACAACATCTGTATCCTTTGAAATGGGTTCACATGGATGGTTATCGTGTATTCAGTGCACAAATTTACAACTAGCATTCATTTTTCCTCTTACTGTTATGCCCTCTCCTAATCCTTGACTATCATAAAGATGGGCAACTTGGTTTCGATGGAGGGAATTCCGCTACTCCCTGCTTGCTGAAGCAGTTCCTTGATTTGGAATATCCAGATTCTTTGATAGACGAGTCAAGGTCAAAGAGTAAGGGGTCACTAAAGGTCTGTTTCTGAGTTTTCTCCTCTTTCTGATGAATAGAACCAGAAAATTTATGCTTTTAGTTTTATGGGTCTTTTCCCCCTTAAAGTTTGCCATTGCATCAATATCAGATTTGCCACATCAAAGCCGGGGGATTGATTTCTTTTGCAATTGACAATCTTGGAGCCCTCTGGATGTGGGGTAATTGTCCAAAACCAGACAGTGAGAATGAACTCGGCTTTTCTTTTGTTAGCACCTTCACTCCCTCTCCAGTGTGGGAGTTTCGTGGCCATAGTGTTGTTAAGGTTGCTTGTGGGAATGAGCATGTCGTGGCCCTGGTTAGTGTTGGGGAAACCTACAATAAAGGTGAAGATCTAGTTTGCTACTCTTGGGGAAATAATTCTCACGGTCAATTAGGCCTGGGAGATAGAGATGGCAGGCCACGTCCTCAAATTATCGAGACATTTAACGAGGCATCCCCTTGGGCAGTATATGAGGTAGCATGCGGGGCATTCCATACTGCTTTACTTAGCCGTGGAAAGAGACAAAGTGACACCTTAGAAAGTGTATGTTGGACATTTGGTATTGGGGCAAATGGGCAGCTGGGGCATGGAACCACCCAAAATGAATTGCTTCCTAAGCCTGTTAAAGACCTGCCGCAGTCTGTATCTCTGATCTCAGTTGACTGTGGTCTATTTCATACGAGTGTTGTTTCATCAGCTGGAGATGTGTGGTCGTGGGGAATGGAAAGGGGACTTGGCCTTTGTCCAGATGCTAGTTTTTCTGGAACTGACACAGGCGATGCTATTTCTCCCCTATCCATCTTTTGTACTGGGTCTCATTCACCAAAATTTTTGGATCCTGTTCAGGTTGCTTGTGGGGCTGCTCATACTGTTCTTGTTGCACATAATGGATATAAACTGTGGGCATGGGGAAGAGGAAGAAGCGGGGTTCTAGGAAATGGTAAAACAGTCGATAGTTTAACTCCCACGATTGTGCTGTGGCCTCCACCTAACGAGGATTTCAATCAAGAGGAAACAGAAACCAAAAGAGAGGAAGATAAAGTTGAAGAAAACAGTAGTACTGAGGAAGTAAGCGAAGCAAACACAAAATTGTCTATGGCAATGGAGGAGATCAAACTTCTTCTAGAGAAACTATCCATCATGGAGCGGTATGCAAGCATTCTTCATGGCTCAATATTTGGAAAGCCTTTCCATGAGGGAGATATCCCACTCTCGTTGCGGAATTCTGGTACTTTTGACATTGCCAAGGAATGGGAATACATGTTGGAGTCAACAGATCGGCCGAGTCTTTTAAGGTTGGAGGCGGTCTACCGAAACATGCTGGAAAGTATTAGAGACAAGATAATGAAAAAAAGGGTGCAGGAGCTTGTGAATGAGTTCCTTCAATCTTCAATGTCAGGAAATTAGTGTTGTGAGCTGAGAAGTGAGAAGGAACTAAAAATATCATTAATTATGGAAACAGCCAAACATCTCTCAAGTTATTCTGCTTTCAGGTTAGTTTCTGTGTAAACCTGGAAATGTTTGCCCCTCGTTAGCTTTAGCTGCTTGTGTAGTTCTCTAGAAGTGCGTTGAGATGTACTAGTCGAAACGTGTCGAGTTTTTTAAGCTATACGATCGATATACATGTACATTTTGGCTTGTGTCTGAGACGATTGAAGTGGTGGATGTAAAATTATGTCATTTTGAAGATGTGATTACATGGAGATATTTGAAGTTGGTTCTACTAAATACTACCAAACTATAGTTGCAATGAAATGCGGCGTGATGTAGTGAATGATGGGAATGCTTGGTTCACTTGCATCTTTTTTTGAACTATAAATCTATTAATTGATCTCAAGAAAAAAAATTATTTATCATTTGTTCAAAGTTAAAAATTCTAAAATTGAAATTTGACCAACTAAATTAAATACAAGGTAAAAGTAAATTTATTTATATAAGTATTTAATAATAACTAGCATCTATTTAAATAGCTTTGAACCTGTTATTTGTAAAAGGGTTATGGATAGGATAGAGTAAAATGATCTTAATATCTTATACATAAATATTTCCAAAAAGTTATAATATAAAATAAAAAATAAATTACAAAAAAATACTAATAAATTTTGTCATTTTTTTCAAAAATGTGAATATCCTTTCAAATTTTTTAATTCTATCTTTTGACTTTTTAATTTAAATAGCCAGAATCAGAAACCCCGGTAGTTTTCAAATGTGTACTCTTTTTGTAATTTTGCTTAAAATAATTTTAAATCTTATTTAGACTCTTTAATCTTTTTTTTCTGGTTTTAAATTTTAAATTTATAATATTTCATAAAATAATTATAATAATTTAGGTTTATCTTCAAGCTTGTGTAAACTTTATTATTTTATTTTCATATACATATATATATTTTAGTACATATTTTTAGAAACATTTTAGTCAAATAGAGATTCAACCTTTATTTGATCGAGAGGTTATGAGTTTGATTCTACCGCTTAAAAAAACTTTTTAGTTAGGTTTGTTTGTTTCTTCTTTATAAAAGGTACAGTAGTTATTTATTTTTTTTAGGAAGGTATACTAGTTAGTTTAGTACGCTTTTAATGAAGATTTTAGATTATTTGGTTCGAAATATGACCGGACCGGACAAATCCGGTCGGGGCAGTTCAACCGAACCGACAACGGCGAACGTTAGGGCTAAGTTAGACATTACGATCATGTTTCCCGCTTTTTTCATTTCTTCACTTGGAATTCTCTGCACCAGAAACCCTAGCAGAGCTCACTCACTTCACTCGAAGCTATTGAAATGCCAGGCCCGGCTTCTGATTCTTCAGCCACCGGTGCTCTAATCTTATCCTCGTCGGAGGCCCGAGAAGTGGTCTACCCTATCCGGCATGACCTTAAGCCACCAATAGCTCGATTATCCATCTCCTGGGCCAGAGGCAACTCTTTCCGCGTTTCCATTTTCAGGCAGCAGGGTGGTGAAAATTCTGCAGACTCTGATGAAGAAGTTGGCGGGCAAGTTTTGGAGGTGAAGATCAGAGACGGGGACGGAGAAATTGGTGCTGCAGAGTTTCGGAGGATCGCGTACGGTTCAGTCTCGCCATTTGCGCTTCTTCAGAGCCGGAAGAATATGGCTTCGGGCTTGTCGAAGATGTCCATGGGTTTATCGCGGTTTAATCCGGAAGGGTAAGAGATAAAGAGGGTGGGGGGAATTATTAATTTTTAACTTCATCTGGTGGAGAAGGTATCAATTTGCTGGATTTCATTCTCAGTACGGAAGCTAGCATTCCTACGAGAAATGTCTATTGCACTGTTAATTTGAACGAGATCTGCTGCTTTTTTTTTTGGTGTTACATCAATTTGAACACAACGTATTTGTTACAACTTGCACTTACGTGTGGAGTCAATCCTTTACTAAGTAGAAGGGACGCTTTTGGAAACAGGTGGGAATACGTAACGGAGTATAGCAAGGATATAAGTTCAATTCTTGGTAATCCGAAGTCACTTCCTAGCTCGGCTATCGAGGATCCACTGGAAGTTTTGAAGGTGAGTTGGTGTGTTGGGAGTTGCATTTTACTTTTGACTTCATGTAACTCTTTCTAGTAACGACTAATATTGCATGGAAGTGGTTGCATATCGTTCAGTTTACTTAGTGGTGTCATGGTTGACACGAAGTAACTGATGCGAAAACTTTATTCTTCATGCACAAGTAATCTTAGTATTAACATTTGAAGAATCTCTATAGAAAGTCGAGGAGCCTACTTGTCTGAAAGCTGCTTGGGAGCTGATGGATGTGTTTTATGCAGACAAGCAGTCGCATTGGTGGCTTAATGAACGCCTTGTTGATTGGTTAGCTGTATTGATCTTCCCATATTTTTCATTCTTTTAGTTTAAAACTTATATCAGAAAATTCTCACTAATGGCAATAATCGTCTGTTGATAGCTCATCCTCGTCTTTTCATGGCAGGAATATGATAGCGTCCTCTCAACCACACAATCAACTGTCTATTCAAAGCTTGTTGAATTCCAGAAAGAACTTCATAACTCACAGGTTCCTCTTTCGTTCCATCATTTCCCATTCTATAATGTTCATTCTAATTACCAACGTGTTTGTTTCTGGTTCGTTAGACGCTTATTCCCTGTTCTGTGTTGTGTATGGGCTATGGTACACAAATTCTATGAACCCAAGAATTTAGAGTCTAAGCCTATTTTACTACCTTACCAATTTTTGTAATATGGTAAAGTCCTTTTTTTCTTGTTCCCCTTCAGTTATGCAGTATCCATGATTGATAGTAGTTGTTCTTTGCCATCTTTCTGTGAGGAGGCTGGATATTATCTGCTTCATAGCTGGAGAGGGTTAATGCGACATATTTCTGATGCCATCTAGTGTAGAATTGTTTGACTGGTTTTTTATGTTATTGCTTAAAAAAACCCAGTTTTCCAGTTATATTTTCTGCTTAGATGGACTTCATAAATAGTCTTTTTGGTGAAGTTGCCCTTGTATATTTATTGTTATTTTTTCCTTAATATGCAATGGAATTTGTCACTTCATACTTGTAAATGTTAAATGCAGTGTTATTTTTGGCGGTCATAAACTATGACTTTTTTATGTCAAGGTAGTTGAGGATAATCCAAGTTATTGGGATGTGATTTCATCAGCATTAGCTGTTGGCTGGCAAGAGATTGTGGTAAGTGGTTTTAGGCTTTTCACTAGGTGTTCCATTCTTCATGCCTATTAACCAGCATATGACATCGCACAATGATTTTGAAAGAGATAATGCTGGTTCTGCTTGCAGGTGAAACTGTTGCGCCTGCATGGATCTTATCAGCTGGACCAACTTAGCAATCGGGAGGTTTGTCAGAAATTTTCTATTGCACATTGATTGCATAAGACCCTAAATATGATGTTGGAATAAATGCATTGTTTGGTGTACACGAATACTCTGCTATTAAGATTTTCAAGTCTAACATTATATCTGCGTTTCTGTTGTATGGTCATATGAATTTTTGTACCATCATAAGAACTTATTATATTATTTTCCTTAAAATAGAGTTTCTCCATTACTCCTCACTGGCGAAGGAGCTTTGAAGAATGAAGCTCTAACTGAGCAAACATATACTGGTTAGTGGTTAAAGGTGTTGGTGAATGGGGTATGGTCCATGGTGTCGTAAAAAATGCAAATTCAATTCAAACAATTTGTCTTATAGAAGAAATTCAATGGTTGTAGAAGATTTGAGCGAGGCTTCCTGCAAAATGTTCTATAAAATTGGAGTTAGGGTTATAACCATTTGACCTAATTGAGGAATGTAATTGATAAGTTAAATATGAGCGAGGAATTTATTCAAAGTTTATTTGTTTGAATAAATCTGTTCCTTTTGATGACAAGAGCTACCTTAAGATTTTGATATGGTATTACTAAAAACAAAAAGGGGAATCTTTCACAAAAAAGAAAAACAAAAAGGAGAATAGTGCTAATCTCTCAAATGTTAAGAAACCTTATCATCTATCTTCTTATCATCATTATAGCTTTTGTAGGCTAAAGTAAGGCCGTTATGTTACTTATACTTGGCTGTTTGAGTTTTCTTGTATTCTGTCAATTTCCCCTTTCTCTTTCATTTGTAATATGCTGGAACCACTTAATTCATTAGAATGTCGATTCTTCTGTATCTCTAAATTTAAGAGTAATGCTGTGACAATAGCAATGTCTTTTTATAACTTTATCTGATACCTTGTGAACGACAGACAGAGAATGGACTGGTAGAGGCAGTGGCTATGCTTATTTCAAAAATGCCACGCATGCGCCCTGAGTTGAATTCTGGTGGACTTGGTGAATGCTTCAAGACCAAGCCTGATTTCATCAAGGTATAGAGTTAAGTTAAAAAAATTTCATATCTTGTTATGAAAACCCTTGATACACTGTCTAGAATATTCATGTTATTCCGTAGGCATGGGAAAAATGGCGGTCCCACATAACTAAGTTGGATGGCAGTGGGTTCTGGGTTCACTGTGCTCATGGTCAGACCAGGGAAGGTTTACGGAATATGCTTCAGATCATTCTAGGAAATGTTGAGAGCCTCAGTGGTGCGACCTGCACTTGGATGGAGCTGTATATCTCTCAGCTTTTATATGTTAGACCATTCACGATGGTAATGTTCATCCACTGATCTACATGATACAGAGTTCTAATAATTTTCAGTTACCCACTGTAGAATAATCACTCAGTTAGACTCTTCCAAATCCTGTATGTTTCCTTTTAAGAGACTAATATCTTTTTCTGTTAAGTCAGGGTTTAGAAAGCATGTACAACCTGGCAGAAAGATGCATGCAATTAAGACCAGCTTCTAATACTGATCGCTTGATGGGGCTAATGATTGGAATTCTCGGAGAAAGTACAGAGGTAAGGAATGTGGAATATACGTGTTCTAATTTTCTATTCTTGACTTAATGAGGTTCTCTGTCATGGCTCAGGTTGTTTTAGCGAAGTGTTCTGGAGGATTTGGCCCCTGGTGAGCTACCGTAGCCTTTCCTTTGGTGTTTGTCCTAGATATGTATAGAGTTTAAAGTTTTTTTAGTATTGTTTATTGGTAGGATGGTTACACATGCCATGGAATTGTTGACTGAAGAGAGTGATCAAGCAGAAACTCTTCTACATGAAGAGCGCCATGATCTTGGAGGAATTAGTATAGTGGAACTTCATCGTCTTGTTTATGCTCAAGTTCTCTGTTCACATGCATTTACTTGGCAGGTTTGTGTTTCTGTAATTGAAATTTTTTGAGATGCGTTTGTCTAAATGATTTGGAGGAGGACCGAATATTCTATTCATCATGTACAGAGTTTTGAAAAGTGTGCCTAAGCCCCCGCCCCAGAAAAGCAAGGGGTATGCGCACCCCCTCACTAAAGCCCAGCTTCAATGCATGTGCGCACGCCTCAGTGGTCTTTAGAAGCCCCCATTTCATTTTATTTTCTTTTATTTTTAAAACTCTTTTCTGAAGAATCTTTTAAAATACTATTAGAAAATCTCTTTTTTGTCTCCAATTTCTCCCAAAAATTTTATATTATTTTATTATTCTGAATGCTATATTTTTCAATATATACGAAATTTAATTATGTTCTTCTATTAAATGCCTAAAAAAGACCTTTATTTTTTTTTGGCATTCGTGCTTAAGCTCCAGAGAGCTTCTTTATTGTACTTTGAGCTTTAAAAAATACTGATCATGTAGATTATTTACCGAAATACTGTTGTATGGTTTTACTTACATGATGCATTTTTTCTCATTGGATTTATGTTCCACTAGTTATGAGAGAAATATTTATGAAGTTTATGAAGGTCCGGGGTAATAAAAAGAGGAGGAAGGTAAAAAGTTAAGGCATTTTTAGCTGCTTATATTAGATCCTTAACAATTGACGTGTCTACAATCTCCTCGTCTTGTTTGTTCATTTATATTTATTTGTATAAGGTGGTGAAAATTCTTCCCCATGACATCGACTAACCCTCATGTGTTCGCTACTTGTGTGTCTTAGATAGCTCCAATTTACTTGACATCATGCGCAAAGCAGGGAATTGGTTTTTTAGAAACTTTGTTGTACAACCAACCCGTTCAACATAATGGTGTCCTACTTAAGGTGACCTTTTATCTACTTGTTGGAACTTCCTGAGATTCTGCTTGATTTGGTTTTATCTTTTGAATGTGAATTTTAAGATGGTTTGATTTTCCTTGTAGAATTTAGAGATATGTCGTTTATATGAACTTGACGGTCTTAGCTCAAATATTATGAAGGTATGTTTCAGTTTTTCCACATTCTGGTAGTGTTTTCTAATAATGTCTTTTTAAGTTTCAATATCGAGATAAATTTTGTAATGGACTTATATGAGTGAGTTCACGCTTTAGTTACATGCACGAACATTCCCATAAAAATATATCCTAATGTTCAGATTGCTGGAGTTTACCATTGGAAGCATGGTAGGAAAGGTTGTGGAGTTTTTTGGCTTAGGCAAGCTAGGGATGAAATTCGTCTTAACAAGATTGCCCAGCAATTGTTTGATTCAGTTGGAAAGTCAATATCAGATGAAAGTTTCAAGGTAACAACAATTTCTAAATCCAGTATTTCTATAAATCCAAGTTAGAACTAGAAGACGTGAGATTTGTTAATATGAATATCTGGGTATTTTTCGTCTCTATATAGCACTATTGTCTGGCATTGCTTATAAAAAAAAAAAAAAATTAAGATTGATTCATCACTTATTCTGCAAAGCATCTCATATTTGCGCAAGCAATCACATTTTCATATTCGCCCTCATCTGTTTTACAGCAATGGGAAGGTCTAATTGAATTGTTGGGTTCTGAATCTAAGAATACTGGAGGTCTTGAGTTTCTCCACAAGTATGATTCATTTCCTTTTTCTTTCAATTTATTTACAATTATTTCCATTTCTAATCAACGCTGGAATGGATCAATAGGTACAGGGATTTCAAAAAGTCGCTTGATCAAGTTCATCGTGAAGGGAAAACTACTGGTGTTGCACAGTCGGCAGTAGATTCTCTCATTGCGGTATTTCTCAACCTTCCCATCTAAATGGTGGGAACCATCTTTATAAGAGCACATGGCAAGCTTTAATTCAATGAATGAAACATTTTAACCCCTTTACATTTCATCTGCCATTTCTAAATCTTTATTTATTGGACTTCTTTTAGTCACCAATATCATTTTAATCTGCAGCTTATGAAGAACCCTTCAACACCTCAGCGCTTCTGGCTACCAATTTTAAATGACTCGGTAAGCCATATATTATGTTTTTGTATGTTGTTGAACTGGTATGTAATTACGATTATAGAATCACGGCTTCACCACACTGCAGTTAAAGCTCCTTGACTGGCCCGAAGGTCCTCTACTAAACGTTGAGCAGACCAATCTTTTGTTGAATAAACTACAAGAGCTCTCAATGGCGAGATTGCAGCCCGACTTCGTTGAATCCAACTTGCCACCTCTGGCCTTGAGCTCCATCAGGTTGGCCCTTGCAAAAAATCTTGGACATGCATTTCTGGACGGGTGAGGATGATGTACACTACGTCGCGCTCGATCCCATACCCCAGGTGGCTGCAGTTATCTGTCACCATCGAAAAAACTATAATCGTACAGTTTGTCGTCATGACATGTTTGGACTGGTCCAGCCTCACCAGTTGTACTCATGGTCATGGTGTCCTCAATTGTTGCTACTATTGGGACTTTTACCATTTTGTGTTGGTTTTTTACATTAGGTAAATTAATACGTTATCAAGAATCGACTCAAACCATTCTGCTTGTGGATCCTGCTATAAGACGTACAGTACAGGGTGAAAATTTTTATATTGCAACTGAATTAAGAAAAAAGGTGCTATATATAATATGATACACACTAATACCAGAATAGAATGGCAGCGTTAGTATAATAACAAATAGAATACACAGCCGAAAGTGATTCTATCTCCTATGATATCATCGTATACTGAAAATCAAAAGGGTGTAAAAAAAGAATAAAGGGATAAATGCCCCTATTACAGCACTAAAATGATAGACATAATATTTTCATCAATGGAGCAATTGAATTGTAAATAGATGATATTAATCTACCTTCTCGCCAAGCTTCAGCAGTCCCCTTCCAGTTCCTCTATAACCTTCAACTTTGCACAACATGCTCCTGCTCCCCAAATAATGCTCTCTGTTGTAATCTTCTTCATAAATAGGCAAAACCATAATTGCAAGGTTCTTCAGGTTCCTGCAGAAGAATCACCAGTTCTTGCGGAGTATCAATCTCTGCCATTCACCTAGCTATTACAACTTCTTAGGCAAATTGTAAGTTTTCTTGAGGAACTTTGAAGCTGTATCATCGTTCCTGTAGCACAGGATGCGTAGAAGAGTGTTTGGTTCGGTTGGATTCCACTGCCCAGAAGTAGGAGGTAATGGAAGTCTGGATTTGGCAGAAGATCCGAATGTCTCTACCGTCACATGTTTAAACCGTTCTACGATACTCTCTGTATCAGTTCGCATTAGAGGAAGGATGCCTCTCAATGTGGTTGCGAACTTATCAATCAACTCCAAAGGCAAACCATCCCCGTTTGCCCAGAATAAATCTTTGAGTAGCTTGAAATCGTCCTCGATTATCTGGGAGTCTTGCCGGGTAAAGGCACGTGAAGGGCCTCCAGCAAGCAAAACCAGTAAGAACCCATCAAAAGAAGCTTTCATTATGTCAGTAACAATCCTTGTTCGAACTCTTTCATGCACAGTGTCCGAGATGATGAGCAAGTACCGCTCAAGCTCCTGAAGGAACGGCTCAATCCTAGAAGATGAGGGCTCCCCTACATACAAACCATCCCATAAAACGTGACTTAAATCATGGAAAATGACTTTATAAGCAACTGCCTCACTAAGTTGCTGAACTCCTTCCACACAAGCAGCAGGTGAGAGCTCGAACTTCTTCCCCAAACCATTAGAAAAATCTTCTGCATGAGCAGATTCGGAGTTCCTGAGATGAGTGATTATTCTTTTCTCCATGACCTCCAACTCACCTCGAATTTGATGGAATGTGTTTATACGAACACAGATCTGAGACATCCCTAATGAATTATCCCCATTCAATGTTGCAACCTGGGAATTCTTCCTCTGAGAATTTGGTAATTTTTCTTTCTTCTTCCCAAAGGCTTGGAACTTTGATCCAATGGTACATCTAGTCAATGCTGGCATAGTTGGAAAATATGTATTTCGAGATCCTGTAGATCCACAAAGATAGAAAAGGTTATAACAAAAAATATCAATGTATAGCAGTAAATTAATGTTTGGAGAAGATACCACAGCCGGATTTTGCTTTCGTTATATAATACTGAAGACATCTATCAAGGCCAGCCACCAAATCAGGAAGTAAAGCAGGATGCATTGGTATTGGTAGTTGAAAGTATGCATCCAATGTTTCATCTATTATTCGCAGAACCTCAACAGCAGATGGTGCAAATCCTTGATTTTCTTTTGGATTCCATGCCTTAAATCATTGTGAAAAATAATCACTTGGTCAATAAGAATGATAGGAAGAAATTTATTTTTTAAAAAAGAAACAGGCAGCAAGCAAGCAAAAATATGGAAAGATGAACTTCATCTCATACCACAGAAAAATTCAATAGAAGGAGAAAGACCAACATTGTTGCACTTAGAACCACATTTTAGCAAATCAGTCCATAACCACGCAAGCAATTATGATGCAAGCCATGCAAAGCAATCATTGACAGAAGCAACTAGGTGATATTAAGCAAGTCTAACGTGCTAAATGCTATTTTAGAATTTAGGTGCATCTTCAAACGAAAAATTATTACCCTTATAATTTGCGTTCCCAAATTAAAAAACTAGTAGTTTGATCATTCTAATTATAACTACCCACTGATGAACTTTGTGCATGAAAATCGATAAAGATGACAATTGTGAAGCACCAAGATGAAACATCACCATTTGAGAAAGGTTGACGTGTCATAAACAGGCAAATCATAAAGTACCTTTCCCTGGGAAAAATTCAACATACTAAGTTAACACATGCAAAATATAGAACACACCTCTTGCTGCAAATTTCTGTCCACCCATTCCTTCATTCTGTCCAATCTTGTTTTCATCCACGATTTAACAAGATTGGCAATTGCAGAATCAGCCTCATAAGGAGGCATCTCGCGAATTATTGCCTTGCCGCCATCATCACTGTCCACTGAATCTTCTACTGCTATTTGCACAAGATCTTTCTCCAGCTTATCAGCAGCTCTCAGCACTTGTACAGCATCTGGTGTTAACTCTCCAATCCCCGAGATGAATTGTTTCAATTCATTTCCATAACAAGCATGAAGAGTGGCCACAGCCACTCCTGCCGCAAATGGATGCCATTTTTTGAGAATCGGACTGAAAACCTCCTTCTCATTGACTGCAAGATCACCAACGTCCTTTGCAAGAATGGCTAGGAGAGGAAGAGAGTTTGGCAGGCTTTTTGATG